TGCATTTGTAATCAACAAAATTAAGCCATACTTAATAGTACAATGCGATTTGAATGTCGACTATACGCAAATAAATTAGAGCAACAGATAAAGCTTTAATAGACTAATTTCTTATCTAATAATCGACTTTTACGTGTAACGTTGCCCGGGACTTTGCACGCACAGTTTTACAGAAATAAACGTAATCTACTTCGTCTTAAAACATACTAGGTGTCGCTATTATATTGTCGCTATAAGAATCCGTTCGTGCCGAATTAAAAAGAACTTAATTAGCAGTCTATGTGTTCTTCCAGACTATGCTCTACCTCTATGCCAAATTCAGCGACATCCATGCAGCTGTTTCAAAGATTGTAACAAACATCCATCGATCCGTGCATCTAAACATTCGGATTATGTATAATATTAGTAATATGTATTGTTTTGTTAGCCTATTAAAGTGTAAAAGCGTTACAAACAAACAATATTACGTTTTTCATTTATAACATTAGCTGCAGATCTTTAAGAGAAACTAAGAGATTTGTTCAACTTGAAACAAATTGTTACTGTGATATACGTGACTTCTTTCTTTTATACAATTATTTATCGTATGAACTATTAATTAGATTCTTTACTTGCATTTCCTATAAGTAATTTAATATCTATTGACCGTTTCAAGGCCATTGCCTTGAGGCGACACGGCCGCATCAACCACGGAGCGTATCGAATTACAAATAATGCAAACTTAATGCAATCTTCATTTAATATAATACATTAAATAACAAAAGTACTTTTTATATACAAAAAAGTTCCTTGTTATATACCGTCACGGATCGTGTATTCTTTCTGTGAGGCAAAATATTGAACAGAAATGCGCCAACTACATTTTTATATCTTCCACAAGTAGGGTTGGGTTCTCAATCGATTTATACAAAACGAAATTATTACAAAATGATGGAGAACGAAAGGGATAGAATGATGTCAGATATTCACATCTCACGCCAATCTACTAAGTAGCAGTGTCAACGTTCGGAACTCCTCGAAGTTCCTCTGGTATTGCTGATGTCCATGGGCATTGATGCACTCCTCGGTGTCAATGCTCGTTTGCCCCCTTCTTAAAAAAATATATATACCTTTTTATATTCACTATGAAATTACTTATTTCTACCTACACCTAATGAATAACGGGCGTTAGTATTCACGCTCTGTTTCACTCTGACAGTCATTGGCAGTACGGGATATACAAATCACGCGAGACGGCCGGAAGGCGTCCAGGGGCTATCGTATGACGCGACCAACGCTATTTAATACTTTAAGGTCGGTTTGTTCTTAGGTATGTGAGTATAAACTGATACTTCTTGACCTGGTTATTACGAACATAAGGCAGTTAGGTGTGTTACTTTTAACAATAATTAATTAAAAAACAAATGTTTATTTTTTATTTACAAAAGCGATGAATGTTTTCAGCCAGTTCATTTCAAATGACAGTTCGTAATTCTATTTGGTAAAATGATAACTTTTTGTGCAAATATTTAAAATTAATAAGCAATAGTTTTATAATTAGAAAAAACTATAGTCGACGCCATTTTGTGTACTATTAACAACAAAAAATGTAATTTGCGATATTAAAATGGAGGAAGAGAAACATAAATTCACAACGAACAATTTAAATTAAGTACCACGTTCGTAGTGGCATATCTCTGTGTGTATAATCTTTGTTCGTATGTAAATGACACGGTGGACATTCCGTGAGGAATTTTAAACAGTAGACGGAAGTATTTCGGCAGTATGTCTGAGAGAGGTACAGAATCAAATATGTACAAGAAAAACTACGACAGTCTGCATTTTTTTTACTCTATGATGGAGACATCTATATAGAGAAAGAACCTAGTAAATATTATAGAAGGAATGTAAGGGGTGTTTTATTATTTATTTATAACGATTTTAAAATATTTATTTCGACAAAAAAATACAATCAGCTTTATATTTATCTAAAATTAAACAAATATTAATACAATAAAATGTCTATCTTCTTACTAATATTATATTGGGAAAGTGTCGATGTATGGATGGATGTTTGTTAAAAGGTATCTCCGAGAAGACTCAACGAATCTTGATGAAATTTAGTGCAGTGTAGAACGTAATATGAAAGAACAAATAGTCTACTAAATAAGTTTTTTAAATTCCGCACAGACGGAATCGGAGGCGACAGCTAATCTATACTAATATTATAAAATGGAAGAGTTTGTTTAAACGCGCTAATCTCAAGAACTACTGGTCCGATTTAAAAAAATCTTTTTTTGTTGGATAGTCTATTTATTTTGGAAGGCTTTAGGCTATATAACATTACACTGCGAACAATAGTTTTTTAATTCCGCGCAGACGCAGTCGCGGGCGACAGCTAATAGATTATAAATCTAGACAGCCATTTATGTTAAAAAATGAGTGAAAGAGGCTAATTATAACCCACGTTTAAAACATTCACTGGTCTCTACATTCTCTGTATTAATGAATAATTAACTATATAAAAGACATTCCTCGCTGTTGTCTTCCTTTCACATCCCCTTTGACATTCTTTGCAAGAGTTACACGGTTACATAACCACAATCCAAACTTCCTTTGTAAAGGTACAAGTAAAACGGAATATTGTTACAATTATTTCCGCAATTGAAGACATGAAAGCAAATTAAACTTCTGATTTAAATACATAAAGTTAAATATAAACATTGCTAGTTTGAATACTTTGGTGCGAATAGCGCGCTTTCGTTACCAAGTCAAGTGTCAGATGTAGTGAGGGGACATAAACGTTGACATTATAATAGGGCTAGTGGTGCGCTACACCGGAACAGTGTCGGATTTTCTTCCTAACACTATAAAGACTTACCATACATACTTTTTAATAATTATGGTTGAAAGCAAAAAAGAAAAGATGTACCAGGACAACATGAAATATCCGTAATCACTGTCTACAACTCAGTGTTATAGGATTGATTTCGATTACGTTAATGTTTTAAAATTAAACCTAATAACTTAACTCACGGCCGTAGCCTAGAGGTGTAGACAGGGACCACGGACCATTTGGAGCGTTTCTGACACACCTCTCTCGTTTCTACATTTATACCCAAACAACTTTAAACTTTATAAAATAAACTCGATTGTCCGTGTCCATTCAGACTTTACAAGGATACGAATCAACACCTAAGTTCGATATCATTTAATACTATCCTATGTAAAGTCACATTCAGATACATATAGCCTACAAAAACAGCCTTTTAACAGTGGTAGAGCCCGCTTTAACATCTTCGCAAGAATTGGCCCGGCTCGCCCGGTGAAATACCACGACCACACAGGAGACAGGCGTCAAGTGGAAGCAATTCCGCGTACAGTCTGATGAGTGTGCGTCCCGGAGACCTAATTTAGTCCTCTTCCCTTCTCACCCTTTTTCTTATAAGGAAAGGACGGGAAGTGGAAGTGGACTTTCCGCATGAGAGGAGGCATAGGAAGGGAAAATATTTTCTTTCTGTGCATCCTCTCCTGCGTCGATTAAAGGTAGGCAACGCATATGCAAATGCATATGTCTATGGGCAACGGTCACATCGCTATTTCATCGATTTCAGGTGAGCGCTCGCTCGTTTGCCACCTTATGATAAAAAAACCCTCCTATCAGTCGGGCAAAAAACTCAAGAAGGTCTGTTTATGAATAAAAATATAACGAATCTTATATTATACAATGTAAAAAAAACAAGTTTCAACGTTATTGCATTATCGAACATTACGCGAATACTTGTCGTGTAATTGCATTTGTTACATAGCGTTTACTGCCTATCGGATTTTATAGCACTTTATCTACTTTTCCATGCTGCAAAATAACGTGGGTTTACACAGGTCTCTACTAAGGTAGCAATTTATTTTTATAAGTTCCTAACTGTCGCTCGCGACTTCGTCTGCGCGGAATTGAAAAAAACTTATTAAAAATTAATAGCCTATGTATTCTTCCAGCCGTCGTGAAGATACCTTCAAACTTCCATCGCATTTATAATATTAGTAAGAGAGTAAAATTAATCAGTAGAAACCTACCGTTAATTGTTGAAGATTTGTAGAAAGGTGTGCTGTATTGCCTGACTCACTATTTAGAATCTTACTCATTTTTATCGGTCATATTCCTTTATATTTAGTAAATCAGGTAACGGGAATAGGTGCAGGAAATAAGTGGTAAGGTGAGTCACACACAACAAGGTATAATATCTTAATTAATGTAATACGGGGAATAATATTCACGTCATTACTTAAATAAAACTTACTTGTAGTATAATAACATTTTATTATTATTATTACAAGGCATTTTATGTTAAAGGAAATAAAATAAAAAAACACGATTTTACATTACAAGCGAAATTACTGGTTAGTATTAGCGAAGTTTAAGCTTTTAATATTATAATATTAAGGCTAAAACTACACTAACAACTCAAACCAAGCGGTTGTTTAGTTGATTATAATTAAGTGGATTGAAACCAATGGCTTACGAATTAACATTTTTATCGCTATCGCATCGCATGTGGTGTGCACAATCTTTATGTACACCATCCTATCAGATAACATGTGTGACGCGATAAAATGATTGTCGGAATCAACCTGTCGTAGAGCACTGACGTCTCTTCACCATATTTACAGTTGATGATATTAATTTCCTACCCATATCGGTGATATATTTAACGATAACACTATAATTAATACGAAGATACTCCAATATAAGTGCTAAATTGACGTACTGTGTTAGTTCTGTATTCAATAAGTGGAAAGTGAATTTAATTCCTTGACAACATCCAGTGATATATCGTCTGTTGACTGCAACTAGATGTTAAATACACATGTCTCTCAGACTGGTGATTTTTGACAAGCATTGTTGTGTGAAGTCGTCATAATCTAGAGGACCTAGCACAAAAATTTGTGAGAAAGTATTCGTAACGCCATCGAAAAAAATTGTCTAAATTTGTAAGTGTTGTATTAAGCTCGATAGAGACGCTGTACAAATTTTTTGTCGATGACGTTACGTACTTTTTCTCACAAATTTTTGTTGTCCCCCTGTAGAGTCTGACGTATTTTGGAGCGTCAGTGTTGACAACAAGCTTGTAGTGATAAGTCGTCTATTGACTACATTTTGTTGTAGAAGACTGACGTCTCTTGAGCGTTGATCTTGTTGTTCCACTGTTAGTTATAACCAGTCGTGTGATACTGACGTATTTTTTGTGATATTTCGTGCAGTGATAACACTAAATATGTTTACTGTGATATTTTGTGATTTGTGATTATTTTAATAATGACCAAGATATTTATTGTGAGTATTATTGTTTAATTAATTTTAAAATAAAAATAAAACACGTAAATAAAATAATCTTTTAAATTAGCTCGAAGCGTCTCGGTTTTTTTATTAATTATAAAATATTTTTGAATTCGATTTTCAATTTCATCTTTTTAATTACTTGAAACAAATTGATTTTATTACTTTTATAACGTTAACTTATTTCAACATGAAGCTAAGTAGTACACTAGTTTGTTTTGTCTAATTGGCGGATTCGAACCATGTACCTAATATCTTAAACCGTACTTGTACCATTAAATTAGACCAGCCAAAGTACTCAATTAGGTATAGAAATACTAAGAAACAGTTGCTCGTGATGAATAATTAAAGAGGTTTGGCAAAGTTTTAAATTTAGAACGTGTTAAAATATTTAATTTTACCAACTAAATTACTTGCAACAAAAATAAACTTAGCACTCTAGTGTTATTTTTAATCTATCTTTAATCTTTATATACTATTTTTTATCTGTATTCAGCTTATCGATGATAAACAGCTGTACGTATTATATGTCATATTAATATAATATCGGCATAAGTTATTAAGTTGTTATTTTAAAATAGACATATTAAATAAATTAAATGTAATTTTAATCTCTATCATGAATATGGCTAATTATAAAATCCTTTAAAATTCTGATTTATTATTACTCTTGTTTATAACATAACTAATTGACGCCCGCAACTCCATCCGAAATTAATAGTAAACTTAATAACTATGTTCTATATGTATGCCAAATTTCATCAAGATCCGTTCAGCCGTTTCGGAGATACCTTTACACAAACATCCATCCATCTAAACATTTATAATATTAGTAAGATAAATAAGAAAACAAAAGCAAACTAAAGCTTGTTTTTATTCGCTTCTGTTAGTGGATCACAGAAACAACAAAATACGCAGAAAACGTATAACAATGCAAACGGAATATTCAACGCAACATTTTCGAGAATTGTAAGCATCAAATGCATTTCAAATGTGGCCGTGAGACGTCCAATGTGTTCAGAAATAGCGTGCAGTTGCACTCGGCGACGGAGTTTTTCAAGACGACCGGTCTGACAGCGAGCAATGGCGAACGTCCGCGCCCTCCTCGTCCCGCGGATCACATTTAGGGTTACCAACATTCAATAAACGTAAAAACCAAGACTATTAAATTTTCAACTATCAACCCTTGACTCTTTGGTTGCCGTTAAAGAGACATCAACCCTTAATTTATAGTAGACGGGAAAAAAAACATGTGACGTATAAAATAATCTGATCCGAAGACATCGTTGTGAAACCCTAATATGCTTACAGAGACCTGAAAAGTATGGGTCAAACCAGAACTGGTGGCAGCCCTATTTACGTTCCGTTTACAAAGACTATATTAGCCATAGACAATGAAGACGTATCAATACTCTGAGTATTGATAAACAATAATTTAGAGGTCTAGTAAAATATTAATTTATGAAAATCAAATATTAGGAATATGCGTTGATCATAAAAATGTTACAGAGTTTTTTTACCATTTAAATTAGACATCGTTTGATTCTGTATGGTTTGTATTGGTAGGGAGAAGGTCTGAAAATGTGGCAGTGTATTCACCGAACACCAGCCTTACTAAAGTGTCGACGTTTATGTCCCCTCACTATTTATTCTGACACTGGACTTTGTAACGAAAGTACGTTATTCGCGCTAAAGGATTCTAACTAAAAGTGTGTAACATTTATATTTATTATTTCAAAACCGCTACGACTTAGGGTCCTTCAAGACGCGAGCGTATCACCATCTCAAAGGCCGGAAACACATCTGAGGTTCCTCTAGTATTGCCGATGTCCATGGGCGTCGTTTATTTTCGTCGCGTATTTTCTTCCTAACATTATAAACAAGATATTTTTATATGATTTGAGTAAACGTAAGCCGAAGTTAAATTGTCGGATTATTTTTATAAGCTCGTCCTCTGTGTGCACTTGAAAAATATATTTTTAGAGAGGTCTTGCATTTGTTTGGAAAACAAAGTCGTCACGACATCGGATTATTTTTACAACCATATAATTTTTTATCTTTATAAAAATTGTATTACTTTATGGTCGACTTAACCAGTCTCTAAATTCCGCGTCTATTAAAGATTCCTTGATGATATAAATAAACAGCAATAAAATGTGTAGAATTAAAATTATAATTGCTATTTTCCATCCAAAGAGGTTTAATACCGATCTCAAGAATCTATCTATAATATAAAAGTTTAAAGTCCTATTATTTATCTTTCATATTTACCTAAGTTATAAACACTACTGAATACTTTTTAATTTTCTTTAAACGGGACAAAATGACACGCTTTACCTTTCGAATAAAAAAGAAATTATGCAAATCTGGCAACCAGGAGCGGAGTTACGAAGTAACAAAAAAAGTAAAAATACAGACGAATGTAAATAGAACCTCCTTTTTGAAGTTTAAAAAGACACTGAAAAGGATGAGAATATGTTTTTCTTATGAATTTACAGCCGTATCACAATAACATGAGTACTAGTTTGTGTTTGAAAATTGGTGTCTTTATGAAAATACGTAACCAAACCAAACATTTTCGATAAGATAACGCCTGATTTCAATATTCCTATGATAAGAATGTACTGGAAATTACAGATTGTACTATATCCAATTTATGTATGTCATTAGTATTTAGTTCAGTATTTGAGTTGTTATTGGCCAGAATTTCGTTTCTTTTTTCATAAAGAACGTATAAAATTTCATTGGTCAAAGTTGAAATGTTACTTTGATGAACTATATATACTACTAGATGTCGCCCGCGACTCCGTCCGCGCGGGATAAAAAATAGATGTTGGCCGATTCTCAGACCTACTCAATATGCTCACAAAATTTCATGAGAATCGGAGTCGTTTCGGAGGAGTATGGGAACGAAAATTGTGACACGAGAATTTTATATTTACGATATACATAGATTTTGGTCTCAGAAACGTGCGATATCTCTGTATTATCAATAATGAAAGACAGAGATGGTATGTTTTAAACGGCGATTTTGGTCTTAGACACTCACAGTTAATTTAAATTTTGTATAGTAAATCAATTTATCTCAAATCAAAATATTTCTATCACTGAAAAATCAGAGATAACAATGTTAACGGTATTCCGACAGTGGAATCAGACTGTAAATAAAAGATAAAATTGTTGAAGAGTGCAAACAGAATTACAATTATTATAGAGGATGCTGGAATTAATTATATGATAGTCTTAAACAATCAACATAAAACTAAATCTTTGCTCAGACATATTTGAAGTTATCAGTCTGTATTTAACATGGGATTGTATGAAGTCTTTGTGTCGACATGTTATTAAATATTACATTGATCTTATTTATAAAATACAAGCGGACCCGACAGACGTTGTCCTGTCTACACGTCTTTAATTTGAAAATTTCAAACTTTTTTTAGTAAGCTAGGGACAGACTAAAATTAAAATTCGAATATTATTTAATATTTGACACTGCGATGGTAGCGCCATCTGTCGGATCCAATGTAAAATATTCCAAAATCAACAACTACTACTAATAAATTAAAAATTAATTAAAAAAACATTGTCCAGCGGACAAAATTGTGAATCTAAACCATTCCCAGATCCCCTTGAACACACACAAAAAATTTCATCAAAATCGGTCCTGTCGTTTGAGAGAAGTTCAGTGACATACACACTCAAAGAAGAATTATATATATAAAGATATAACTAACTGTCGCCTGCGATTCCGTACGCACGGTATAAAAAAAAACTTAATTAGTAGCCTATGTGTTCTTTCAGACTATGTTCCACATCTATGGCATATTTCCGCAAGGTCCCTACAGCCGTTTTCGATATACCTTCAAACAACCATTCATGCATAAACTTCAGATTTATAATATTTCTAAGATATCGATTGGCGGTGGTTTAGGTGTTAAAGTACTTGATTTGTTATCTTCAGGTCCTAGTTTCTATGTTTTAAACGGAGATTTTGGTCTCAGAAACTCGCAGTAAGATTCCAAAGTTTATTTGTCAAGTATTGCAGAATAACACGACCTGACCTCTCTATATTACTCTAATTTCGTAAAAACTGCACAATATACGTAACATGTTTTAATTTTAAAACTGCAAAATCGATATTAAGTAATACGAATAAACGATTGCGATTTTATTCGAACACTCTAATTTGTTCTCAAAATGTGCAGTGTCCGAGTTAAGCAATTGTGTCGGCGAATGTATTGGCTGACCCGTCTTATCACTGCACGTCTTGCTTTAGAAAGGCTGTATGCAAGTACAGTCAGCGACAGTTACGTAAATTAAATAATAAACGTAATATTAAATGTATTTTTTTCATAACTTCACATGACTGTAGATCTGACGTAGTTAAAGTGTTGATGCAAATGTACGAATCAATGGGTTGAATTGTTACAATGTATCTCCGGAACGGTTCCATATATCTCGATGAAATAAACCAGATGTAGAACATAGTCTGGAAGAACAAATGGGCTATTTAAGTTTTTTTTAATTCGACAGACAGTTACTTAGAAATAAAACACAAGTTTTCATTTTTATTGATGAAATAAATGGTTCTTACATTAGAATTGTTTCAAAAAAGAATTTACTGTATTTCGTGTCATCTAACACTGTATATACGACGATTTCGAGTACCATAATAGCAGGAAAGCGTAATCCACGATAATTTTTAGAAATAATCACTATTTCCCTTTATAATAAACAATTAATGCAGTCTTGATGAATAATAATTTTGTCCGTGACTGTACATAATAAATCTGTTACATCCTAAATTCAATCTTAACACAACTACATACAGCTTAATTTGCCTTGGACATTGTGTTTTCAAGTTGAAATACGCCCATTAATATCGTAATATTAAGTTTCAGTGTACGTCATGACAAATTAATTAATGCTGCACTGCACAAATGGAACATTTAGTTTTTTATGACATCGATATTGAACGGATAGAATTACCTGGTGATCGGATTCATTTAATTATTATGACGTCGCATTACCACATAAAAGAAGTATTAAGTCGAATATATTTATAGCCTAGATGTTTTTATTTAAATTTGTGTATAAATTGAAAACAACACGGCAGTTAAAATGCGGTTGTTGTCAACACTTCCCGCGCGAACTTCTCTCACCCAACTTTTTTTATAATTAAAAAGGCAAAGGTTCATAGTCGCCATTATGCCACGTCTTTGGCAGAATGTTTAATACACTCAATAGTTTGCTATAATAGTTTAAATTTTATCAGGACTAAATGACATTTAGTCAATTTCGTTACACGACAGAGAAAAGAGATATTGACTAAACAAAGCAAGACAGAGAGAGGTATACATTCAATTTGAACACATGCATTATAGTATTACGTTGATCTACGATTTGTAATTTTCATTATTAATATTTATATTTTTTTGAATGAAAATGTTTTTTTTTTGTTTCAGTCCGAAGCGGAGACGAACTGTGGATTTAGAGTAAGTTGATATAATATACTATAGTTCAATGGAAACGCACTTTAAGTTACAATTCCGTATACTACACCAATTGAGTTATTTACTTCAAAATTTACATCTATAGGTGCATCTTCTTATATATAAAATTCTCGTGTCACAATTTTCGTTCCCATACTCCTCCGAAACGGCTTGACCGATTCTCATGAAATTTTGTGAGCATATTGAGTAGGTCTGAGAATCGGCCAACATCTATTTTTAAACCCGCGCGGACGGAGTCGCGGGCGACAGCTAGTACTAATATAAATGCGAATGTTTGCATGGATGCATCGACGTTTGTTAGGTGATTCCGGAACGGCTGCATCTTGCTAATATGTGACATAGATGTCGAATATAGCCTGGTACATGTTCTACTAAGTTTTTTTTTAATTCGCGCAGACGGAGTCGTGGGCGACAACCAGTCTCGCATGAATATTTCATAGTAATATTTACGTTTTATGACAACCATGACGATACAATATATTGCCAATAAAATCACACAGACAGATAAAAACAAACATTTTTTATAAGCATCACTTTCATTCGAAACACTAAAGTCGCCGACCAAAATTCCTGACTAATGGACACAGACGACCGTTACAGAGATTCCAAACAAAAACATAGAACAATGCAAGTGAAACAAAACAACAGAGTAATAAATATTTATTGACTTTCGAAAAACACTTTTTGACAAAAAACGACTTTCATTTCGAATATGAGGAACGTTTCAAGGGCAGACAAGGATATTTTACGGTTAGGCGTTTATATTATACGTCTCAAAAGACGCATTATATTATAAAACGTACATTTATTATAATAAAATTTATATATTTGCAAGGAATAAACTGGAAAAATTATTTCACCATGAGAAAGCTTTTTTTTTGCTCCTTCATGGTAGTTATGTGGGATTCTCTTCCAGATCTGAAGCATACCCACTAAACCCCTCTGTACCTCCTATGCATGATGGCGAGGTCACTGGGACGCTTTCGCTTTCGTCCGTAACCCCGCCTGACCATTAGATAGCTAAATTATCCCTAAGTAACGTGGTCTATTATTTAATATTGTTCTATAATTTTAAAAAAAAACTAAGCGAAGTTAATACTGGCTTTTAGACATTTTTATAAACATTTTTTAGGTTATGTAAAAATAATTAACTTAATTAGATTTATATTTGACATCGACGACATTTAAATTAAATGTGTCTTCTCATATAAAAGATTGAAATATTCTAACGATTTCATATATGTATTATTCAGCGATGAATTAGAAATCTTTTATAATTTAAAAGCGAGTCATCGTAATTAATGGCGAATAATTTGAACTTTAAAGTTCAGTTGGGGTTCGTTGTTTGAATGTCACATGATCAGGTACCAAGTATTGTTGCTATGCAAGGTATAATGATGTAGATAACAAAAAAAACAGTATTTATTAATGAAAAGTTGGATAAGTTGTAAATAAGCGGGAAATATCAAAAAACTAATATTATAAATACGAATGTTTAGATATATTTTAGAGCGTCGGTGGCTCAGGAATGAAGCTCTTGCCTTGCAATCTGCATATCCTGGGTTCGAATCCCACCACGTACTAATGTGTTTTTCTGATTAACATATGTACATTTATCCGACGTTCTGACGGTGAAGGAAAACATCGTGATGCAATCTGCACATATCTGAGAATTCAAAAGATATGTGTAAAGTCAACCAACCCGCAATTGGCCAGCGTGGTTGACTATGGCCTAGTCACCCCTAACTTAGGGTAGGCTCCGAGCCCCTCGGTGGGGACGTATAGTGAGCTGATGATGAACACATATTCTAGAACACATATGTTACTTATTAAGTTTAATTCCGAGAGAATGGAGTCGCGGGCAGCAGATAGTTAACAAATATAAATGAAGGACAGATAGTTTACTATTATTGTACTTATGTAGTCGTACTTTTTGCTAAGTAAACATCATTGATAGAAAACATGATTACCAGCGTCGGTGTCCACTTTCTAAGCTGACTAAGATGCCTTTCCATTTGTGAACCTAATGCGAAACTATTTACCATGTGTTTGTTGTTTTTTTTTATTACTTTTTTTTATAATTACAAATACAGGATATTGTAATGTTTGATATCTATGTAAAGTTGATTGTATTATTTCGCTATTGATAAAAAACACGAATGAATTGTGTATTTCTATTATAGAGATGAAAGATTTGTTCTCAACGTGCTTTGAAAGTGATTAAACGATATAATTATTTTAGATTTTAAAACATGTTAATTCTTGTCCTATAGTTATCAGAAAACAGCGACCGATCAAGCCGAGGTTCGGCCCTCTCGGGCACCCTTGAATCGGAATGCTAAATGCGTATTGAGTGGCAGCCCAAGTCGACGCCTCCTCTCGGAGGCCCTTGAGCCCCGTCACTCCATGGAGCGTCCACCGAAGCGATCAAAGACCTCGGTGACCTCCCAATCCGGTAATAATAACGAAGTAACGGCCCGAACCGAGGTTCCCGAGGGAGCCCTCGAGCTTAGTTACTCTTAAACGAGGTTTAGGCTAAGTGACATCTGCGCTCGGCCACCTCAAGCCCGGTGATGCTGTAAATGCTTCAAGGCAAACAGTGGCATTTTAGTCAACAAAAAAAATCTTGTCCTGTAAACCAATTAGTTTGGTTAAAATTTATTGTAGACATTGACATTTAGCGTCATTGCGAATGTCTTTATAGTTACTGTGTGCCAGCTCTATTTTTCTGTGGCATAATAGTAGAAAATAATAACTGTAGTTTATGTAGTACAAGCTATCGCCCACGACTCCCTCCGCGCGGAATTAAAAAAAAATACTTAAATAGTAGCCTATGTTTTCCTACAGATTATGTTCTACATCCATGACAAATTTCAGCTCCGTTCAGCCGTTCTGGAGATACTTACAAGCAAATATCCATCAATCTAAACATTCGCATTTAGTAAGTAAGATAAAATTATCTTTAATTCATTTGTCGTAGTATTTATTAATCCTTATGGTTAAATCTAAATGACCTACGGATTTACAGCGTATTTTAAATACTTATTGTATTGTTGTGCACGTCCGACATTGGCTAACACTGGCCGGTTAATGCATCGTGCGCCGCCATCTTGCGCAACTGTCAAGTTTGGCGCCAAATCAGCTTATGTAGAGCGTTGCATCTGGCAACTGTCCACGCTTTGAAAGCTTCGTCACAGTAGACTTTAATATGCAAGTGTCTAAAGTTACAAAACGTTTTATTCAATGCTATTTTGGAAGATAAGTCTAGAATTTTGTAGTAATTTTTAAGAATTCTTTAAAAAAATTGATTTATAAATAGCATCTAATAATATTCGGAATAAACTGTCTTAAAATTGTAAAGACTTATCTACAGATAAAAAATTCCTTCCGAATCTATTTAAATAACTCTATTTATCGTTTGATTCATTGTCATAAATAATTTTAATCGTAATTTAGAAATTGACAAATCATCTTAATATTATGCTGCCACTAAGTGACACTTACTTAGCCCTAAAAAGAATAGGAACAATTTCATAACTTATATTTATCTATTACAGAACATCGCCGCCATATTATCAAGCTTCAATTAAACTTATCAAAGAAAATATCTTGATATTCTCACAATATTTCTCATTTGAAAGCTAATTGAAGTCACTTGAAATAGTTCTGATAAACATAACTGATAAAATATTATCTAATCTAGTTTCCTATAGTTTTTTTTTATATATTACAAGGTGGCAAACGAGCGAGCGGCCACCTAAAATTGCTGAAATAGCGAATTGATTGTTGCCCATAGACATACGCAATTGCATATGCGTTGCCTACCTTTCATCGACGGAGAAGAGGATGTACAGAAAGAAGATATTTTCCCTTTCCATGCATCCTCTCATCCGGAACGTCCACTTCTACTTCACATCCTTTCCTTATAAGAAAAAGGGTGGGAAGGGATAGAGGACTAAATTAGGTCTCCGGGACGCACGACTTTTTTACGCACGACGTTGCATCTACTTATAGAAAATATATATTATTGTCATTGCATTAATTTAAATGATAGATTTACTGAAACGCGATTTAAATAAGCAATAATTTTAAATTGCGACAACGCGGCTCGCGACCCGCCAGACGTTCGCCTGGCCACATTAAATGTAGGTCCGTGGTCTCTGTCTATACCTCTGGGTTACAGGCGTAAACTATGATGATTTTAAACTAAAATAAACTCTGATTCATTGTAGGTTAACATAATTAGGAAGGTTATAAAGTTTGCAATAATCTGGAATTGATTTGATATGTCACAAACTGACAGGAGGGTTAGTTGACAGCTGTCAAAAAATGAAGGCGATCTAAGACGTGAAATATTAATCTATCATCTTTTTATTTTAATAGGTTAACATAGAATTTTATAGCATATATCTACGGACCGTATTTTATTAATAAAAAATTGTTTTCGCTTCGCTAGCGCCTTATAACCTTATTATGACAATTATAACTGGTTATTTTAAGGTCGTCGACATCTGAATTGGTGTTGCCAGACTGATCCTTGTTGTACTTTCTATACTTGCAACATCGTAATAACTTACAATTGATATTAATGTTTTTTTGATGTAGAATTGGAGCGAAGTGAACGTCTCAATGGATTGGTCAAGCTTTGTTTGGTAATGGGTACGGGTACGGGTTAATGGGTACATCTTAATTAAACAGCTCTATGGGTTTTTTCATCTTTAAACTAAGTCATATTAATTAATGTTATAATCATCATCATCAGCTCACTATACGTCCCCACTGAGGGGCACGGAGCCTACCCTAAGTTAAGGGTGATTAGGCCATAGTCAACCACACTGACCAAGTGCGGGTTGGTTGACTGTACACATATCTTTTGAATTTCTTCTCAGATATGTGCAGGTTACATCACGACGTTTTACTCCACCGTAAGAACTTCGGATAAATGTACATATGTAAATCGGAAATCGAAAAACACATTGGTA